TTTCTTTATCTGCTTCTTTAATCGACTCTACGCCTCCCCAGCAGCAACTTCCGTAGAAGTGATCCTCGGTTTCTCTTGTTCCTACAGGTAAAGTTTTAGAGTCTATATTAATTACAAGCGACGCACTTCCTAATCTTTTTTTATGTCATACCCGGGGAGAGAAAGAAGGGCGAATGGAGGCGTCGATAACGACTTTCTCCCTTCTTTGTGCTAAAAGTTTGTTGAAGTTGGAACCCATACATTATTGTGGATGGGGGCTTTATTCTCTCTTTCTCTCGCTTGCTCGCTCTCTTCTGCTCTCTTCGCTGCACTCTCTCTCTCTGACTCTCTCTCGTCTCTCGGTTCTCTCACTCCTCTCTCGTCTCTCCTCTCTCTCTGGCTCTCGCTCTCGCTCTCGTTCGCTCCGGTTCTCGCTCATCCGTCTCTCTCTCTTCTCCTCTCCTCGCCTCTCTCTCTCTCTCTCGTCTCTCTCTCTCTCTCTCTCCACTCTCTTCTTTCTCCTTCCTTCCTTGCCTTCCTTCTTCTCTCCTCCCTCCTCACTCCGCTTATTCCTTCCCACCGTCAGCCTTTCTTCCTTTCTCCTTCCCCTTCCCCATCCCCTTGCCTTCCTCCCTTCCCTCCTCCTTCCTTCCTTCCCTCCCTCCCCTTTTCCCTTCCTACCCTCCCCTGCTGCCCCCGTCGCTTTGCATTGTGTCCCGACTTGTCGCGAAATAAACACAAAGTGGAAATCAACTCGGGTGACGTGTCGTGAACAAAAGAGGGGAATAAAAGCGAAAATGTAAAACTTTGATTGCTCATTTTGAGGCGACTGCTCATTGCAAAAAAAAAAAAAAGGAAAAAAAATATAGTTGCAGTTCGCCTGTTGACGGCGGCGGGTGCCTTTCTGTTCTATTTTTGTTTATTTATTTATTTTATTTGATTATTTTTATTTTGTTCATTTGATTATTTTGTCGGAAGGTTTATTCGCCTTTTTTCCCTTGATTCTTGAGTTATTTTCTTTTTTTTATACGTTTCA